AGAATAGAATAGAATAGAATAGAATAGAATAGAATAGAATAGAATAGAATAGAATAGAATAGAATAGAATGTTTATCTCAAAGGAGAGTGTCTCAGTGTAAGATAATCCTCTCCACAAAGGAAGAATGAACAAGAAAATCTCAGCCTGTTTTCAGCAAATCTAAGCCTGTATTTTAAGGGTAAATTATTAGGGTGGAATAATATACTTTCTTCAACTATTGAAGATTTAAGTGTTGACTGTTAAAAATTGTTGAATTATCAATTTGTTAACCAAACCAGAAAGAAGTGTTGATAAAGGAAATACATGGTTACTATTTGGGGTTTTTAAAATGATGAGTATGCATTTAAATAACAGGGATGTATTTCTCCATCACACCTTACCTCAAGGTTGCATCCAGAAGAGAAACAGTTGCTGAGAGGACTGAAGAACTTAAAGTAGTCAAATGCCAGGATGAAACCAGATTTCAGAAGTTCTGGTCATGGTTGTGGAGAAGGAAGAAGGTGTGATTCAAAATTCAGATCACAATTGTGTTAATTCTATCAACTAACACAATTTTGTTTATTCTCCAAAAGCACGTCTAACTTTTCCTCCAAACTTTGAGCTAAAAACTAACATAACACAACTAATTTCTCTTTTAAATCAGAAAGAAAATGTATTGTTTATGATGAAAGCAGACCACTAATGAGGATTTATTTTTCTAAGACACCTTGCATCGAAGAAGATAACGAAATAACACCCACTCCCTTTCAAGATGTTGAGAGAAGGGAAGAGCCAGCTCTGAATGCAGATACTGGTACCAACTATGAGAATAACTTGGATTATCAGGTGTGTTGGCTAAGGGAAATCAGAAAAAGGATTTTTTAAACTCAGCTTTCTTTTGCATAGAAAGTAACAGTGAATTTATTTTAAAATTTTAGCTGTTCTACTATCTTAGGCATTACTAGCCAACAGCATTTTCATTCTGTTTTAGAAACATTATTGATAGGTTTCAAACTATTAACCATATGGTCATGAAGAAATAAAAGAAAACATTTATTTATGTGCTCTGGTTAGCAGACAGGAGAAGATATGTACTTTCTACATCTCAGAATCAAAAATTTAGAAAGAGTCATTTAAGGTTAAATGTCTAATCTGTTCACAGCAATAATCAGTGTCCAGAATTGTCTAATTCTGAAAATCCATTCTCCTGCAACTTTTCCCAGGATAAAGCAATGAAAGCAATGTAGCAGGCTGCCAGCCTGTTGAAAAACCTAACTTGTACTGAACATAAACTTCTAATTTATTTCGTTTTGTTTTAAGGAACAAGGTATTGAAGTTTAATCTTTTAGAGTTCCTTTTATATGAAACGTTTTCCAAAACTGATTATATGTCAAACTCATCTAAACTGCAAAATGTCAAAACATTTAATTGTGACTAGTATGC